AGTTTTGAACCGCTGACCTTAAAGTTCGCAGCCCGATTCGTAACCACTACGCTACCAGAGTATAGTGGTAATTAATTGGTCTTCCTTGTAGTTGTTTGAATGCTATCTTATCACAGACATTGTACTTCAAGATAGATCTTGTGGATAATGAACGTGATGCCATTCCTCTTCAACCTGTCATTCCCGGCACAGTAAACCATATGATTGTCAGATTCAAAATGGCCAATACCAGTCCATTTCAGCTCATCAGTGCCTTTATGGAGTCCAGGGGTGGCGCTGTAGGATAAGCACTGGACCTAAAAGTCGCTTTGAACCACAAGGACGGTGGTTCAAACTCACCATTTGCTTCTTGGAAACCCCACACAAAGTCGCTATGAGTCAGAAACAACTCGATGGGACTTACCACCACCAACAGCAATGCCTTTATGAGTTCTTTAAGATTTACGATCTTTATGAATTCTACTTCATGTTCCAATTATGAATGGATGTTTGTAGCTGTGTCTCCTCAGTTTGAGTTGTTGAGTTTGTTGAAAGATTTCAATTTGTATTCTGACAATTGTCAGAATGACTTGGGGAGATACACAGCAGAAGAGCCCTGGTGGTACAGTGGTTAAGCACTGGGCTGCTGACAGAAGGGGAGGCAGTTCGAGCCCGCCAGTCGCTCTGTGGGAGAATGATGAGGCAGTCTGCTTCTGAAAAGACTTACAAACTTGGAAACCCAAATGGGGCAGTTCTACTCTTCAGCAAATGACGATCCTGAAAGCTTTCCTCCGTTTGTGTCATCATTGTCAACTCTACTTTGTGAAGGCAGCTCTTCTCCAGCCGTATCTTAAGTGTCTTCTGATTTGAGGGGCTTACTTCTGGTTGTCAAAGACTTCATTTTGCTTGGATCAACCATCAACACTCATGGAAGCAGCAGTCAAGAAATCAAATGACATATTGCATTAGGCAAAGCTGCTGCACAGACCTCTGTAAAGTGTTCAAGAGCAAAGACATCAGTTTGAGGACTAAGGTACGCCTGATCCAAACCATGGTGTTTTCAATAACCTCATATTCATGCAAAAGTTGGACAGTGAATAAGGAAGACCGTAGAAGAATTGATGCATCTGAGTTATGGTGTTGGAGGAGAATGTTGAAAGTGCCATGGGCTGTCAAAAGAACCAATAGATCTGTGTATTGGAAGAAGTGCAGCCAGAGTGTTCCTTGGAAGCCAAGATGGCCAAACTCTGTCTCTCATATTTCAGACATATTGTCAGGAGGGACCAGTCCCTGGAGAAGGATATCATGTTTGGTAAAGTGGAGGGTGGTAGAAAAAGAGGAAGACTCCCCTAATGAGGTGGATAGGCACAGTGGCAGCAGTGGATTGGGCTCAGGCCTAGCAATGATTGTGAGGTTGGCCCAGGATGGGGCAGTGTTTCGTTCTGTTGTGCATAGGGTCGCTATGAGTCAGTACTGACTCAATGGCACCTAACCACTACTAACTATTATCTTCTGGTACCAAATCTCACAATGTTTTGCTGTTGTTCATAATGTTTTCATATGTATATTTGGCAATGTTTTGCTGGTATTCATAAGGTTTTCAGTGGCTAAACATTCAGGAGTAATCTGCCTCTCGCTCTTCCTAGTCTAGCTTAGTCTGGAAGCTCAGCTGAAACTTGTCCACCATGGATGACCCTGCTGGTATTTAAAATACCGGTGGCATTGTTTCCAGCATCACAGCCACACAAAAGCCACCACAGTGCGACAAACTGATGACAAGTGATGGTCCAATCGATGCCGAGCAGAATGGCTCCATAAGCATTCACTGGCTGTAATCTTTATGGAAGCAGATTGCCAGGCATTTCTTCCTTGGGGTTGCTGGGTGGGTTTGAACCACCAACCTTCTAGTTACCAGCTGAGTATAAATCTTTTGCCTACCTGGGGCCCTGCAGGAGACACAATGGGGTATGAAATACCTGCCTTAGGCTGCTCCTGTGTTGGGTTCTAAAGAAGTCAGCCGGGACAGGATCAACAACAGGTGGTTGTTGTTGTTGTTATGTGCCGTGGAGTTGGTTCCGACTCATAGCGACCCTGTACAGGGTTTCCGAGGCTGTAAATCTTGACGGGAGCAGAAAGCCTCATCTTATGGTGGTAGCACTCCAGAACTCGGGTTACAGCTCCATCCTGGCTAGCACCCTGGCTAGCAGCGGCAGCAGGGCTGGGAGAGGTTGACTGAATTGCCAGAGGTCACACGGCGATGAGGCAGCAGGTCCCCACCCCCAGCTACGGTCTCCATCCCCAGGCAGAGTCTCACTCCTGAAGGGCCCCCCTCAGACACAGGGATACCAGGCTCCGTGTCCTGCGGTCCCCCTGGGAGCTCCTTGGGAGCCTGAGGACACGTGAATGGGCACCTGGTTGTCTTCCTTCCCTTCCCACTTGCTCATGTTCATGTCTCAAACCCCGACTGAGTTTTGTGTGTTGACTTCGTACCTGGACACCATGTTGGATTCATTTCTTTGTTCTAATAGTTTTGTAGTGAAGTCTTTGGGGGCTTTTCTATGTGTAGGATCTTGTCATCTTTGAAAAGAGACTTTCACTTCCTCCTTCCTAATTTGGATACTTTTATTGCCCTGGCCTAACTGCTCCTGGTAGGGTTTCGGTAGTGCCATTACCAAGCACTGATACGATGAGGGTCCTGACTTGTTCCTCTGTCCCTTCTGGCATCTGCTTCTCTGGACTGTGGGAGGGGGCAGCAGTAGCTCTGAGGACTGTGGTTCAGATCTCCCTGATGCAGATGAAGCCACTGTTCCCAGCACTCCCTCCACCCAGGTGCAGCCCATAGGAACAGAACCAGAACATCTACTGAGTGCCTGGCAGAAAACTGACCCACCAGCATCTGCAGTCAGTATCATCACACCCATTTCACAGAAGAGGAAGTTGAGGCCCAGAGAGGTGAAGTAACTACTACAAGTTCTGAGCTTTGCAATGATGCATTCATTCATTCAGACCCCTCTGTTGTTAAGTGCCCTTGAGTCGGTTCCAACCCAGAGTGACACCGTAGAGGGTTTCCAAGGACCTACTGGTTAGTTCTAACCACCGATCTTATGGTTCAACCTGACCTTGCAGTTCAGTGCATACCCTACAACACCACACCATCTCTATGCTAAAACAATATGCAGTTGGTACAGTTTGAACACTAACTTCCTGGAAGGGGAGTGAGTCTCTCGTCTCTTGAGAACTTGGAACATCATGGTTTACACAGAGCAGGGGGTCTCTACTATTTTGCCTGTGGTAAAATGAGTCTGTCGGTCATCAGAAGAGCCCTGGTGGTGCAGTGGTTAAGCACTGGGCTGCTAACTGAAAGAGGCAGTTCAAGCCCGCCAGTCACTCTGTGGGAGACAGATCAGGCAGTCTGCTCTATCCTAGAAGGTTGCTATGAGTTGGAAATTGACTTGACTTGGCAGTGGGTCGGTGGGCAGTGGGGACACATTGGGTTGATCTAGGAAAATAGTGTGGACTTTGGAGTTGTCTCCAGGGTGTCTCCAACTGCGTAACCTTGAGAGAGTTTCTCCTCAGTCTCAGTTGACCCATCTGTAAAATGGGGGTAACAAGAGCACTTAGCTTTTGGAATGGTTTGGAAGATTTAAGGAGACAATGCCCTGAGCATAGGGCGGGGACAACCGAGACAGATGTTAGCATGGCTGCTTATGATCAGCATCACCTCTGCACAGGGGTCCTGGTAGGTGGGGCGCGCTGTTCACCTGCAGCAGGTGGGGATGTTTTTTTAAAGCAGGGAGAAGTGGGCTTCTCTGGACCCTGGGCCCTAAGACATTCTGCCCAACCCTTGCCGAGACACTGTAGCTCAAGTACATGGTTGAAGGTACCTAAGGCATCTACAAGTTCCTGTTGATGTGAAACCAGTTCTGAATGGCCAGAGGAGGTTGAGTGGGTAGTTACCAGACACCCAATCCACCCAGCAGTTGCTTGGTAACCACCAGCTCCCTCCCACGAGAATGTGGGGGCTGGGGGCATCAGCATCTTCCGCTGTCCCTGCAGGATGCCCCCTGTCCTGCTGCAAGGCTGGGGTCAGGTCCACACAGAACTCAACCTGTCCTTGATGATGACCACACAGGAAGTTGGGGAGGGCAATGAGCCAGAGAAGGGTCCCTAACATCTGGTCTAAGAAATCAAACCATCAAACCAACATTTCCCCTCATAGCTCCCAGAACGAAGCCAGGGGGCTGCCCCTCCCTCTTCCTGCCCCCTCTAGACTTCACTCTTTCCTCGGTGGCTTCCCTGGACCCACCCTAGGTGGCGGGGGATCGTCTGTTACAACCAGATGCCCTCCGGTTCTGTGCTCACAGCAAGGCTGGGTCTACTCACCTACTGACACAGTAGAACGCGATCAATCTGAAGATGTCCTCAAACACCAGAACCGAGCCTTCCAGGTACAAGACTGCAGAGACACAAGAAGGCTTTTGATGAGAAAGGCTTTTTTCTGCTCAGATGGAAAGAGGGGTGACTGTGAGGCAGGGGTCGTGTCTGTCCATGGTGGGTGCCTGGTACCTGCTACAGCACCTGGCCGGCTGCACACCCTCCACATCTGCTGCCGACTGGGCTTCCGGTAAGTGAGAAGCGAGTACCTGTATTTAAGAGGAAGTCCTCACGGTCTTAACGCCCTCACCCAGAGGTACCGTGTAGGAACAGCCTGGCAGTCTCTTCCTGAAAAATCAGCTACTGAAAACCCTGAGTGCAGTTCCACTCTGAGGCATGTGGGAACGCCGGGAGTCAGAATAGACTTGACAGCGATCGGAAATGACATCAGAATCTCCACTGAGATTACAGGGGATCATCCATGAGAGCGGCTCGTGTTACGTGTTCCATCTCTTTTGGATTCTAGGTTGAAAAACAGAACTACAAACGTAAAGGGTCACTGTCCTCTCATGGAGCAGACTTCTTGTTCCAGTGCTGTTGAGTTGGATCCGACTCACAGTTGGTTCCAACCCTGTGTTCGAACTGGGTTTCTGAGGAGCGGCTGGTGGTTTTGAATCACTGGCTTTGCGCTTATTCTACAGTGCCGCTTTTTTTCTCCAAGTGATTCGCTCCTTTACTTCGTCTGTAAACACAACTTCCATGCAGATGGTGTAAGTGGGGCACCAGCACTCATCCTCCTCTGCTCGCTGCTGGCTCGGGTGTTTGGGTGCTTGGGTGGGAAGCGCCCACTCTGCAGCCATCTGAGATGTGTGGCTGACAGCCAACCATTTGAGGATCACAGAAAATGATTCTATTTGTGATTTCTAACCTCCCAGCAGGACTCAGGAATGGACTTACTTCTTGGCAATTCTGAGGTCGATGAAGGGTCAGGGGGAGGAAAGCAAGCTGCCCCGTTCTGCAGAGTCCTCTGGGAAGTACATCTGTCCAGGGATGCTGAACTGGGCTCACTGACCTCTTAGCCCAGAACCCCAGGGCACATGACAACCTAGCTTGTGTGGCTGAATGGGTATAGTCCAAGGAGAGGCAGCCTGGCATTTTACAGCTCTGGCAAGGAAGGGGAATGCTGGCATTTGATGGCTCCTCAGAGCACTGGGCACCAGGACATGGTGACGGTGTCCTGCAGGCTGAGGACAAGCTGACCACCGTAGGCCAGGTGCTACATCACACCAGCCTTGGGAGTCTCAGGAAGCAAACCGGTGTGGCGAGGTAAGTAGTTTGTGGCCTTACAATTAATCAGTGGTCCAGGCATGATCTCCCATAAATCTGACTCTCATTCCATGGCTCCAGGCAGCCAGCAGTGCTGCTCCCAGACCTGGGTCCCCACCACAAACTTGCTTGGGAACCAGAGGAGCCAAGAAACACGCGGACATGGCATTTTAATTCTGGTTTCCTGAGGTTCTTCAGGCTTCTGTGAGGTAGATGCGTCCCAGACCTGGCTCTGACCCTGAGTACGTCCCTTCCCTCTCAACCTCAGTTCCTCCATCTACAAAGAGGAAGAACCTTTCCAGATTCACACACAGACCCTGCTCTCAAAGCCCAATTCCTGCTGCATGGATGGTCTGCGAGACGGTCAGTCCTATAGTGCAGAATCCCCCAAGTGTTTTCTTTAAATAGTTTTATTTCTACATTCACCTTCTTTCTGCAGGTTCAGCGCTGTTCTCAACAGTTAACATGTTTTTTTTAAAATTTGCAGTCATCCATTTCCGACAGAAAAGTGTCATGTTTGATAAAGTGGAGAGTCAGCAGAAAAGGATAAAGGACAATTGCTCACTGAAATGGGCTGACCCAGCCAACCTTCACGCAGATGGCGAGGGGCCAGGCACGCTGCATTCTGTCATACACAAGGTCACCGTGAGGCAGAATGACTCAGTCAGTGGCAATTGCCAACACATTTATCTACACTGCAGTTGTTGTTTGGTGCTGCCGAGTTGGTTCCAGCTCACAGAGACCTGCACCGTCCTCACAATTGTCCTATTTAAGCCCATTATTGCTGCCACTCTATCAATCTATCATGTTGGGCATCTTCCTCTTATTCAGTGACCCTTCCACTTTACTAAACTATTACATTAGGGTTGTTGGTGTTAAGTGCCATCGAGTCAGTTCCGATTCATAGCGACCCTGTATAGGATTTTTGAGGAGCAGCTGGTGAGTTTGACCTTGTGGTTCTCAGTCCAGTGTTGATCCTACAGTCCAGCATTTATGCCATCCAGGGACCTTGTTGTATTACCACAGCGCCACCTAGTGCTTACTTTTGACACAACACCTACTGTCTCCACAAGGAACAAGACAATGGCAGCCAAGGGCTGTTGCTCAGTGCCCTAGAGTCAGTGAACACCCTCTGGAGCTCAGTTCTACTGAGCTGGAATTAACAGGTTTGTTTTTTGTTTTGCCTTTGCTCAGGCCATGCACGGAGAATTTGTCTTTGTCCTTCCCTGCCTTCAGAGCTCAGCTCTAGGGACCACCTTCTGCCTCACAGCCTTGCCCGATGACTCCAACCTGTCCCCAGGAAAGTGACACGCAGGACGTGCTGTGCAGACCACACATGCCTGCATCAGGAAACTTTGCACGTTTTCCTATCGTGAGTAACAGGGGCAAGGAGCCACCCCTAGCCCAGAGCAGGGGCGGGTCTTATTTTCCCTTGTCATCTGCGTGGGGCAGGATGGGCAGATACAACCAGCCTCCCTCAGGGTGTGAAAATCTAGAATGGAATCTACAGGCAGATTTGTGGTTGCTTAGTGCTCTGGTAGCATAGTGGTTACGAATTGGGCTGCGAACCACAAGGTCAGCAGTTCGAAACTACCAGCTGTTCCGTGGAAGAAAGATGAGGCTTTCTGCTCCCCTAAAGATTTATAGCCTTGGAAATCTTGTACAGGGTCTCTGTGGGTCGGAACCAATTTGACGGCACTTAACAACAACAACAGTGCCAAAAGAACCAACAGATCTGTGTTGGAAGAAGTGTTGCCAGAGTGCTCCTTGGAGGCCAGGATGGCCAAACTTCGTCTTTCATACTTCGGACATATTGTCAGGAGGGACCAGTCGCTGGAGAAGGATATCATGTTTGGTAAGGTGGAGGGTCAGAGAAAAAGAGGAAGACCCCCAATGATATGGATTGGCCAAGTGGCAGCATCAATGGGTTCAACAAGCATGGCAACAGTAGTGAGGCTGGCTCAGGATTGGGCCGTGTTTCATTCTGCTGTGCTATGAGTTGGTACTGACTCGATGACACCTAACAACAACACAGTGTTGTCGGGGAGGTGAGCTACAGGTACAGAGAGAGCTCAAGGGTACAGGATTTCTGTCTGAAGTGTGACAATGTGCCAAAATCGACCAGGGCTGTGCAACTCTGAATATATATTGTTGTTGTTGGGGAGCACACAGGACTGCCATTAGCAAAAATCCAAAAGCTGGTTGGTGTAAAGCTGGCTGGTCTCCAGTGTTCTCAGCTTGAATACCCTTCGTGGCTTTTAGTCCTTGAAGGGGTGCCTGACTCAAGCCATGGTGTTTCCAGTAACCTCATGTGTACGTGAAAGTTGAACAGTGAAGAAGGAAGACCTTAGAAGAACGGATGCGTTTGAGTTACGGTGTTGGAGAAGAATATTAAAGATAACACGAACTTCCAAAAGTACAGCTAGAATGCTCCTTAGAAGTCAGGATGGCGGGACCAGTGCCTGGAGAAGGACACTGTGCTTGGTAAAGTGGAGGGCCAGTTTAAAAGAGGGAGACCCTCAACGACATGGACAGGCACAGTGACAGCAGCAATGGGCTCAAGTGTAGCAGCAATTGTGAGGATGGCGCAGGACTGGGCAGTGTTTAGTTCTGTTGAACACAGGGTCACTATGGGTCCAGAACAAACTCGATGGCACCTAACAACAACTGTCTTATGAGGCACAGCTGACAGACAAGCCCTTGTATCTATCACCCACGCTGAGGGGACCACATTGGCCCTCACTCTGCCCAGCCAGCTTCTGAAAGACCCTCAAAATTTCCCGTACCTGCTCTGTCCTTGCCAAAAACCTGCAGCAGAGCCAAGTTAGCCTGCCCTCCCAACAAAGATGCCAGCTCCAGGTAGCCAGCTCTGCACAACCTTGGTAGGACCCCCAGGTCCCTGGGCAAAGCCACAGGTGAAATGAGCCAGGTCCTGTCTAAACCCTTCTCTTTCAAAGGGTGAGGTGAGAATCGCTGAAGCTGGACGGGGTTAAGGTGGCAAAGTGAGTGGGAAGCAGGAAGGGGACCATCAAGGCACGGTCAACAGAGGGTGGGTGTGCCAGGCAGGTGTGTCCTGGTCGGTTTCTAGCACCAATCAACCCACAGTCAAAGTGAAACATTATGAAGAACTGAAAGCTATTGTACATAGGGTTGTTTTTTGTTTCTTTTGAGTTCCATTTTATCACTCAGTTGTACAAATGAACTGCCAAGGAGAGAGACTGCATATGTCTCTTTTGTTCTCCACGGAGCCCCCAGCATCTAGAGTGATGCTCCACACAACACTGGCTCTCCTGAACAAGTTCTTTCTCTACTGAACTTTTCTTTTTTAAAAAATGAAAGGCTCACAGCAAATTACAAAGAAATATACAAGGCGAGATGCTTCACTTGTGGGGCATCCGAAGTAAAAAAGTTCAGTTCTGACGCATAACAACCCTGTACAGAGTCTCCAAGGAGAAGCTGGTGAGCTTGAATTGCTGACCTTCTGGTTCAAACCAACCTTGTGGTCCAGCACACAAACCCATAGTGCCACACCAGGACTCTAAAAGGCTCACGATGATGCCCAAGTTGAGAAAAATAAAAATAATTTTAGTTCTATAATTATATAGTTCTTTTTTTGAGATAGAATTCACACACTATAAAATCCACCCTTTTAAAGTATACAGTTCAGTGATTTAAATATTTTTTTAGTTGAGTCACAAACGTGAGCAATCACCGTAACCATAGAACTCCAGCACATTTCCATCATCCAAAGATAAA